AAAAAAAAAAAAAAAAAAAAAAAAAAAAAAAAGAAAGAAAGAAAGAAAAATTTCAGGAAAAAATTGAGTTGCAAAATTGGATAGATCATATTATACATTTATCTATTGCCAGGCATGGCGATGCATGCCTGTAATCCAAGCATTTGGTAGGCTGAGGCAGGATGATTGCCACAAATTCGAGGTCAGCCTGGACTACACAGTGAGTTCAAGTCCAGCCTGAACTGCACAGCAAGATTCTGACTCAAATAAAAATTATATATTTATTTATGATTATATGAAACAAACCAGTAAACAGAAAGATGGAAAGGAGCCTGGAAAGATAGTTGCTAATAAGATGTCATGATTCACATAGCAAATATTTCCTGAGTGATTATTATGTGTACACATTGTTTTAGGCACTGGGGATTCAGCAGAGAACAAGATAAATCTTAGGAAAACAAGAAACAAATAAAAGATGAAGAATAATAAGATGCTGTGTGTAATAACAAGCAGCAGGATGGGCACAGGGGCTGTAGGCAGAGGGAGGAGAGGGTTGTTCTGGGGGTTGAGGGCGGACTGCCCTGCCTTGCCAGGTGACAGCCCAACAGGTCCACTGACGTGAGGGAAGGAACCATGGGCGTTACAGGTGGAGGGGACAGCAGGTGCAGATGACCTGTGGCAGACGTGTGTGAACTCTGTGGGGCTCAGATGGAGCCTGGGAAGCCAGAAGAAAGGCTGAGGCTGCAGAAGGAGGCTGTGGAGTTAGGAATTTCTTTCTAGGCGCCATGGGAGCTGCTGGAGACTCTGAGCAGAGCACCAGCCACACAGTCTGATTAGTTTCTCACTGATTTCCCTGTGATGACGGGTACTGACTGTCCCCGGGATGAGTGACACAGGCAGAGCAGTCAGGGCCTCCTCGTTGGAGAGGAAAGAGTGGATGTTCTGCCCTTGGTAGGTGCTAGGGAAGGAGGAGCAGCAGTCAGGTTTGCAATATGTCCTCAAGGCAGACTTGGTGGGGTTTGCTGACAGGCTTGATGTGAGTGAGGGAAAGAGATCTTTTTTTAAGAAAAGCAACTGATATTAAATTTAAAATTATTTGCATTACTGAGCTATGGTTTCCATTCTTCTCATAGCTTTAAACACTGATAAAATCTTCTAAAGCACACGCGCGCATGCACACACACACACACACACACTCACCTTGCACTTGCATGAATGGTTTGGTTGAGAACTGAGGAGGAGGTGAGTTACACATTTGGGTCAATGCATTTTGCACAAGCATGCGCAGGACAGAAGAGCAAGTTAGCTCCAGAGAACAACAACTCCCAGCCCACGAATCTCAGGCATCTTAACAGGGAGCTAGACTTCAAGCAAATCGTACAACAAATGCCACACCAATCTTAAGCTAAATTCTGGGTGGTGTGACCCTCGGTGACATCTGGGTTAAGATTTTATTGAGAATGGGTGATAAAGAAAAAAATTAAATATGATTGTATAGAAATTAGACATCTGTAGCCCAAAACACCATAATTAAGGTCAAAAATTTAAATAGGAGTTTGGTTTTTTTTTGGGGGGGGCATATATGACAAAAATTGACTTCTATACATCTATAAACAAAAGACTAAGAATCCTAAAAATGGAAAACATTTTTTCTTGGAATAGGAAAAGGTCAACAAAGGATAGAAACAGGTTCTCTGAACTCACTACGTGGTCCACCCTAGTTTTGAATTTGTGATCCTCCAATCTCAGGCTCCTGAGTGCTGGGATTATAGGCGTGTGCACCATGCTTCCTAAAGTGGTGGAGTGGCTTGGTGGCTCTTTGGCAGGACCCTCCATCAAGGCCCTCACGAACGACTCACTCCCTTCCACTCACTCTTCCCCTCCAGGTCTCAGAGCTCAGCTGTTTCCCATTCCTCTTAAACTCTGCCACCCTTCACTCTAGCTGTTGGATGTGATCACTCATCTCCTTCCTTCATGCCTAGATCAAACCCACCAGACTTGAAAGAGCTAAGAACCGTAACATTTCTGGGCTGCATTTTCTTCCCCCACTTTTCTAGAAAGCCAGAAAAGTTAATCTGTGCAAGCAACCTAACTGGTGAAAAGTAGCACCAAGATTTGAACCCGTGCCTGGTTTTTCTGCCATGCCCTGCTTCCTCTCTACAGGTCCATGCTACATTCTGAGGAGAAGTAGGCATTGATAACTGGTATGCAGATGGAAAAGGTTAAAAAAAAAAACCTATGATCCCTGATATTGGGGCCAAATCCTAACCTGACTCCTCTGCTAGCTGGTCTTGCAAAAGACCTCAAACCTGTTCGGTATCCTAAGGACTTCGTCCCACTATTCCAGGTGAGAGGTGCCACTGGTGGAAGTGACCGCCAGGTGAGGTTTATGAGAAAGAAACAGAAGATCAGGAAGAAGAGCAGACACATTCACCTTGTATCTCTCATGTGCTGGGGACAATGCTGGTGGTAACACTCGGTGGTTAAGAGCTCAGGCTCAGAGCCAACCAGGTCTGCCTGAAAGCCTTAGCTATATCACCTGACACATGATCTTGGCTAAATTAGTTACCTCCTCTCAGCATCCCTTTCCTCACTAAGAAACTTGGGAATTACAGAAGTAATTATAGCAGAGGACGGTGGCAGCAAAATGCTGTGTGTATAAGGCCTAATAGAGCGCCAACATATACTGAATGCTCACTAAATGTTCATTGTTGTCCTTACATTTGGTAAATCTCAAAACAACACCATGACCCAGGGATGATTGTCAACATTCTTTTTTCCTTACATGTAGGCTCTTGGGTTTCCAACAGATAACGTGAAGCTGGAAAATACCAGACCAAAGTGCTCCATCAGTGTGTACCTATCTCACCCAGGAATTATCCTCAGGAGACTTCTTAAGCATCACCTGAGTTTGCAGTCAGAAACACGCCAGGCCTTACCATGACGTCTTCAGAGAGTCAGGTTTTTAAGTCACATCTGCTGTTCTATTTCCAGTCGTGTGCTCACCTGTTTAGAAAACTTCTCACAGTCTCTTGCTTCTGATATCCTCTTGACTTGCTGTGTAGCTTTCCTCAAGACCAGGGTCTCACAGGGCTGATGCTCTGTCAGAGTGATATCGCAACAACAATGACAACAAAAAGGATCATTGGAGCTTGTTAGCAGTGTAGGAAAGATCATATGGCAGATCTCAGCTTCCTAGAATCTAGATTGTACGTGGGTACAATCAGATCATCCTAAGACACTAATGGGTATAATTATGATAAATCCATACTATTTCACTTGCTTTTTAGCCATATATATACCCACAGAACATGTCTGTCCATTTGGTGATCTATCCATTAGTCTATCTATCCATCCAACCAGTATTTGCTGAATATCTACTACGTACCAGACACTTACTTGGTGCTAAAAATAGACTATCTTCAAGGACCTCACAGTTTAATGGGGTAAAAAGACACGTAGATCATAAATGCAACACTCAGATGCCATGACAGCATTATCTATAAGATACAGTAACAGCCACAGAATAATGAGGGAAAGGCCTAAAGTCTTTAAAAATGCTAAGTGGCGTGGCCGGGTGTAGTGGTGCATGCCTGTAACCCCAGCACTCGTGAGGCTGAAGCAGGAGGATCGCTGTGAGTTCGAGAGCAGCCTGAGCTACATAGTGAGTTCCAAGTCAGTCTGACTACATAGTGAGACCCTGTCTCAAAAAACAAACAAACAAACAAAAAAACATTAAGTGGCAACAGGAAGGTAGTTGTGATTAAGAGAAAAAAATCCAACTCTTGCACAAAAGTATGGTTTTAAGTAGGAGAAGGTTGATGGAGAAAAGCTTATGGACCAGCAGAGAAACAACTAATCATCTGTAAATAGATAATTAGAATGGCTGCAGAGTTCTCAACAGTAATTATGGAAGATAGAAAATAATGTGACCAAATCATCCAAGAATGGAAAGACAATAACTGTTAACCTCGACTTATATACCCAGAAAAACTATCCTTCCAGAATAAAGATGAAATAAAAACATTCACAAAAAAGCAAAAATTAAGGAGCTTACCAAGAGACCTGTGATAAAGAAACTACTAAGGAAAACTGTACATGCATATGTATTTTTGTCAAGAAAGAAGGAAAATGATCCCATAAAGATGGTCTGACCTTCAACAAGATAACAATTTAAAACCAAATAAAGACTACTATAGGGTCAGGAATTTAGCTCAGTGGCACCATGCCTGCCTCACAAGTGCAAGGTCCTGAGTTCAATCCCCAGTACCAAAAAACAAACAAACAAACAAAACAACAGCAACAAAAACCTACTCGTACAAATAATAAGAGTAACAGTATCATCTAATATGTGAGTTTTAACACAGGACAGCCTTAAAAATGCTGGACAAAATAACATTAAATTGAGGTGGAGGAGACTTGGACCTAAACTGCTCTGAGGTCTTTGTTTTGTTCAGGAAGAGGAGTGGTTAAAATCTTATTCAGCTTTAGATAAAGGCATCAAGAAAGCAGAATTTCTTACCCTTGACACTGATATTTGGGGGTGATGGCTCTGTTGTGAGGGACTGTCTTATGCATTGGCAGACAGTCAGCAATGTCCTTGATTTCTACCCATTAGATGCCAGTAGGACTTCCCTGGGTAGTGGCAACCGAAAATGCATTCAGACATTGTTAAGTATTCCTTGTGGGGAAACTGCTCTTGTTTGAGAACTACTGTGAGAAAGAATATAGACAGAATAAATAACTTCTTCCAAAGTAGAGAGACTAGAACAGAGTCAGAAAAATAGAACCGATTGAACCATCAGGGTTATGGCTCTGGTTGAGACAGAGCAAACACTTGGCCCAGTTTCCTGCTGAATGCACCTAAGATCCCTGGACAGAAACCGTGGCGTGTAGCTATCTGAGGACACTGGACAATAAGTAACAGTAGTGAACTAGAGAAGAAAGTCTGAACTCAAAGTAGGAGCCACACTGAAGTGAATTTCCTGGATTGCTTTCCCTGCAATTTATGCTTCTGTCTCAGCTTTGATTCCCACTGTCACTGAAGCAAGCTCCCACTTGTGTCCTGTGTCACTTTCACTCTGGAAATGCCAAGAGTTTTAGGAACTCTGTGCCAGGAAATGGGACAAAGACCAAATCTACTTTGTCATTGAACCGTGCAATCTGAAAAATATACAGAAAAAAGTTAGAAAAAAACAGTCTCGGTGACGTCCAAAAGTTTAGCATTTGTGTCATCAAAGTCCTAAAAGGAGAGAAGAAAAGCAGTATTCAAATTTTAAAAATGATTGAAAACTTCCCAAATTTGGAAAGAGGCATAAAATTATAGATTTAAGATATTTAATAAACTCCAAACAAGTTAAATTCAAAGAAACCCATGGGACACTCATCATCGTCAAGCTGCGGGAAGACAGGCCAAACAGTATTTTGAGCGCAGTTAGAGAAAAGGGAATTTACACAGAAGGGGACAACAGTTTACACCACTGGAACCTCTGAGACTCAAAGGCCGTGGGCCAAAAACTTTGGGGAGAGGGAGAATGAGGACCTCACACATGCCAAGCATGAGCTCTACCACAGAGCTACCCTCTGCCCTGGACTAACTATCCTAAATACTGAAAGAAAGAACTGTCAATCCTTAATTACATGGTGAGAGGGAACATCCTTCATGAATAAAGGTGAAATAAAGGCATTCTCACATGAAAGAAAATCAAGAGGGTTCACTATAGGCGGGCTTACTTTAAATGAAATACTAAAGAGGTTTTCTTTTTCTTTTGAGACAGGGCCTTGCGATAGAGTTCAGGCTGGCCTTAAACTCACTATTTATCTCAGGCTGGCCTCAAACTTCCAGAAATCCTCCTATCTCAGCCTCCTGAGTGCTGTACTCCAGGTGTGTGCCACCCCTCAGCTCTAATTTCTCTTGGTACTGTTAGAGGCTGTGTTTGCTAAAAAGCACAGACTATTCGCTTGGGCCCACAGATACCTGTGGGTAACTAAAAGCTGAATAAAAGTCTGGCATCTCTGTCTTCGTAGTACATCCTTTGCTATCTTGTACTTTGGGTCAGGCTCCTGCTTGGCTCTGAATGTAGGCGGGTTCATAACTTAAGGGGTATCTGTCTAAAACTGCGAATCCTCCAGCTTCAAGGCCAAGATATTTTCAGCTGTAAGATGTGTTCAAGATCTGCAGAGGGACATTGGAATCGCAGACAGTTAATCACCAGCTCTTCCAATGTCCCGCTCCTCACTCCTGAAGCAGCACCTGGCATCTTCAGTCACTGTCCTGACCCTGACTGAACTAACTAATTCATCTTGCCTTCCACCTGTTCCATTTCTCTCAGGCCTTTCCCCCTGCAGTCACCTTGGATTCCAGGAGTAGCAGTCTGATGGATAAACATCCTGCGACAAGGGTCAAAACTACCCCAGGCAGAGCCGGGCATGGTGGTGCACGCCTGTCATCCCAGCGCTTGGGAGGCTGAAGCGGGAGGACGGCCACAAGTTTGAGGTCAGCCTGGGCTACAGCGAGGCCCCGTTTCAAAAAACAAAACAAAACAAACAAAAAAGTCCCAGGCAGCAACAACTTTCTCACGGCTGACAAGCCTCCTGAGATAATGATTAACCAGGCCTTGTGACCCAGACTGCTTGACCGTGTGTACTTCCTGTCCCCTCCCCACTTCCGGTCCTTCTCTGCATAATGGCGAAGCTCTTGCCAGTACCCCGAAGACAAGGCTGAGGACTCTGGTCCCCCATTCCTTCCCGGTGTGGCTGTCCCGAATGAGTTCTGTCTGTATTTCTCCACTGCCTGTTACTGCCAAGTAAGGTGGGTGGCTGAGCCGGGTGTGAAGGGGATCCCCGGAAGTGGGCTTCTGCCCTATGCCTCTGTCAACAGTACTTTTCCTTTGACTCCTGGGTCTTCAAGAATTCAATATATCTATGTATTTTGGACTTACAAAGTCTCCCAGAAATATTCATCTCCATTTGGAACCCTGACAATAACCTCTGATCAATTCACGTGCTTTTTAAAAACCTATCTACACAATTTTTGTTTTGATTTTTGAGACAGGATCTCACTATGTAGCTCAGGCTGGCCTTGAATTCACTATGTAGTCTAGCCTGGTCTTGAACTCATGATGATTCTTCTGCCTCAGCCTCCTGAGTGCTGAGATTACCAGCCTATGCCCAACTTTAACAGCTTTTTTGAAAAATAATTATCACATTAATTTCTCTGAGCTTCTATTTCTCCCTCAAAAAAAAGGTCAAATCTTTCGAATAATGATGACACCCATGAATTTACCTAGAGTCCCCATTCTGTGTTTCTAGATCATGCATTATCTATAGGGCATATCTCCTGCAATCTAGACGCCACACACCAAGCCAACTCCTTTCTCTAACTCTCACAGTCCACGCCACTGCTGGCCCTGCCCTGGGTCAGCCCCCAGGCCAGGTACTGGCCAGCCAGGGACAGGCCGGTGCCTGCAGTCCCGAGGACCTATCTGTTCTCACCAGTCCTAAACTGTGTGCTCTGTCCTGCTTTGTCCTTCCCTCTGAACCGCCATAAAGGCTGTGGCCTGTGCCTTCCCCTGGCTCTTTCCTTCTTCCTGACCAACCCTGCTGGCCCCACCACACAGGGTGTGCCCCTCTTTTTGACAGGGGTGATAACATTAAACTTTTCTTTCAGTGGCATTTTGCCCTCTCTGTGTTTCCATTCAGTCACCTTTATAAACTAAGACCCAGGAGCTATTCAGTCCCTACCTCAACAAATGCTGCTTCCCAGTGGGGACAGGTGTCGCAATCATGTTGTGGGTTGATCTCCCCTCCACGCTAACAAGCCTACTTCCCCTCAGATCCTAGCACTGCACCAAACCCATCATCGCAAAAGTTAAGCGTTAACTTAATGTTAACAGTGTGGAGGCCCAGGCCAGAATGCAAGGGTAAAGCAAATTATGTTCAAACAAAGCCAGGAGTCTAGGATTTTGGAAATAACACCCAAGTCAAGGGCCAAGAGGTCACATTTGGTTGTCTCTGTACCTTTCAGGGTGCTCTGGCGGCAGGAGCTTCCCGCTGAATGCTGGTTGGCAGAAGAGACTCTCCTGTAGGCTGAATGTACACTAGAAATCTCCAGGGAAGGAAAAGGAGAGGAACAGAGTTAGAAACACTGGTAGTGAGAGAAATACGTGCAACGTCTAAGATAATTCCTGTGATTCTTAGCAAAGGAAGCGCAGAAGGACAATGCTAGGAGCTCGGCAGAGACTGGGGGCTGAACGGGCAAGCACCTGGGCTAGGATGGAGGCAGAATGGAGGTCGGAGCCCAGCTGTCACTCACCAGTGGGTGACTCTGGGCAAGTCAGTCAACCCATCTACTGCCCGGTTTCCCTAAAGGTCAGGTCAGCTAACGCATACAGAGGGGATATAAACTAGGATTATGCTTGGATGTGTGTGACACACACGCAAAATAACCATGGCTCAAAGTAGGTAGAAATCACTTTCCCACAGAAAGTCTGAAGGTTGCAAATCATGTGGTATCACTACTGTACTTGGTCCTTGGGGACTGGGACTTCTTAAAGCTCCTGGTTCCACTTTTCCTAAAACAGGACCCTGGTCCTCTGACCCAAGATGGCAGCCAGAGCTCCAGTCATCACATTCACTTTCCAGGCAGCAGGCTGGAAAGGATAAAGAGACGCAGAAGGAAGGTTCCCAGAAACTGCCACAGGTTACAATCATTTCATCTCATTCAGTGCATCTTAGTCACACGGCTATACACAGGGAAGATGAAGGACTATAGTCTTTATCCTGGCCAGGTACGAGCTCAACTAAAATGAGAGGTTCTTTTTAGAGATGAAGAAGACAGCGGACACTGAGGAACAACTCCTAGTCTGCCACAAGCAGTGTGAGAGTCGCTTGGGGAGCTGGGGCAGGGAACGCTGGATTCTGCCTGGGGAGAGCTGGAGGGCTTCCAGGAAACGAAGGAAGACATAGCCATTCTGTCTTTAAGGATGAGTAGGAGTTTGGCAGCGTGAAGCAGAGGGCCCACCAAGTGGCAGACAAGCAGCCCACCAGCCTTAACAATCAGCGCCTTGCTTTCTTAGAAATGAGATATCTGAACGGGCAGGAGGAAGGCAAAGGGACTCCTCTCCTCTGTGCAGCTGGTGCCCAAGAGCGAGTGATTGTTAGGGTGCCGAGGTGGTACTGGGATTTGTTAGGAAATGAGTTTGGGGCTCCACGTAGCACAGGCCGGGGACACTGGTGGCGGAGGCAAGGACAACGTAAAGAGGGCAGCTGGGGTACGGTAGGATAGCCTGCTGCCTGTGGGGGACGCCTTGCACTAATACGGGTCGTGTGTGTGTGTGTGTGTGTGTGTGTGTGTGTGTGAGATACTGGGGATTGAACCCAAGGCCTTGGCACTGAGCTACATCCCAGTAGGAGTGGCCAGTCCTCTCGGCCCACCATTAGGGACGGACTTCAGGGCCCTAGCATGAAGTGCCCTGACATGTTGGCAAAAGCAGGGAACAGCCAGCCAGGGTGGGACCCCGACAGGGCAGCAGAGGGCGCCTGCAAGTGAGGAAATTGTGGGTACAACTGAGACGGCCAAGAAGTGCTGGGGTGAAAACAGGGGTGCAGAGTCAAAGGTGTGTGTGAAGATAAGAGACCCTGGAACACCCTATTCCCAGACAGGGGTGACCCATGGGGCACTGAGGTGCAGGGAGAGGGCAGCTGCGTGTATCTCTCCTTGGAAGCTGGGGTGAGGCCCAGGACCCAAGTCCACAGGCACCCAGGGATGGCAGAGGAGGGCAGTGCAGGTGGGGACAGGCTGTCTGGGTGCAGGAAGTAGGGGTCTCCTGCTGACTCTTCTCATCTCTTGGTTCCCTAATTGCAGGCATTGCCTGGAAGGTGCTGGGTGGAGGCTGAGTCAGGAGGAGCAGACTGCAGTGTGGAGTCTGGGCGGCAGTCAGCATGAAGTCAGGGTGTGAGGGGGGAAAGCCAGCAGCACAGCGCGGCCAGACAGCACTGCACGCCCATCGGAGGCCTCCCCGTGTGGCCGCCACAGTCATGCACTCTGTGGTCTCCCAGGGACCTTTCCTGCCTGCAGACACCTGGGCTCAGGGAAGCAGGTAACTTGCCTAGGGCTGCACAGCTGGCATGGGAACCTGAGAACAGGGTGCTATGCAGAGATCTTACAACCCTGGGGGACAAGAAGACTTCCCGAGGACAAAGACTGACAGTGCTATAAAACATCATTTTCAGATCCTTGCCTGTCTGGTCACTGAGCAGGTGTTCTTGCTCCTCTCCTCCCACTCTACAAAACACAAGCACCTGTGCCTCCCAAGCCTCCTGGGGGGGGGATGTAACGCCTCCTAGCGGGGGTCTGGGGGAAAAGTTTCCCCCTGGTTGATTGGGGGCCTAGGGGAGAGATCCCTCGTTGGGTAAGGGGCAAAGCTCCTATGAGACCCCGCCTGTGGATCTTTTATGTATTTGATTGAGTTGCAGAAAGGGCTGAAGGCCAGTGGCAACCAGTGCCAGCCGAGTGAGGAAACGTTGATGAACCACTGAGACCACAGACTCAAAACAAACAGAGACGAATAATCACCGGTACTCAGCCGGGGTCCCCGAGACAATACAGATAATAATTGCAAAAATGGGGTGGTGTTGGGGCTCAATGTCCACAACTGATTGCTGTCACATCAGACCTGCCAAGAGAGTCTCCGATCCTTTGGGATATTTCCTTGACAATACCCGCATATTTTTCCTGGATAGTCTTGCGAAATGGAAATCCAGAAGGCAGCAGGACTGGCTCTTCTGTGACGGTGGCCTGGATGTGGGCAGCATTGATCCCGTGTGTGTGGTGTGTGGCAGCATGGGAACGGCGAGTGAGGAGCCACCCTGTATATGTTTGAGAAGTGATGTAGCCAGAGGGGTCCAGAGCAGAAACACCTGCCTCGGCTCCCAGCCAGGGTAGAGGGGGTTCTTACGAGGACTCAAGCTGCTAAGAATGAAGCCTGAGCCGGGTGTGGTGTCGCACACCTGTGATCCCAGCACTCTCTCTGGGAGGCTGAAGCAGGAGGATGGCAAGTTTGAGCCCAGTCTGGGTAACTCTGAATTTGCAAGACCTTGTCTCAACATAAAAACAGGGCTGGGGATGCAGCTCAATGTGAGGGCCTGGGGTTCAATCCCCAATAACGCAAATTAATTAACTAATTAATTAAAAATTTTAAAGCGCAAACTGAGCACAGTGGTGCCTACCTGTAATCCCAACTACTCCTGAGGATCTCAAGGTAAAGCCCAAACCGGGTCACTTACCATAGTGACTTAGTGAGATCCTGTCTCAAAATAGAAAAATGACGAAAGAGCTGGAGATGTAGATCCCTGAATTCAGTCTTCAGTACCAAATAAATAAAAAATAAGTAAACAGAATGAAGCACAGGATTGGAAATAGGCATTTTGGCATCACAAACGGGGCTGCTGGCCCAGCACTTGAAGAGGAGAGGTCGGACAGCCACGGCCACAGGGATTATGTGAATGCTCCAAAGGATAGGGCCGAGGGCACCTACGATGAGGAGCCCACTCCAGACGAGAGGGTGAGGAGGCCAGCGCCTCCTGTGAGACTGAAGGGGATCAGCACCTGCCCCTCCTGGCTGGCAGTGTACCTCAGTGGTACAGCGCTTGCCCAGCACACATGAGGCCTGGGTTCAGTCTTCAACACCTCACTCCGTGAAGGAACGGCACCCCTATAAATGCCATTTTGGCATAAGGATTATTTTGAGCTGAAGGCAATTAAAAGGCAGCCAAGACCGGAAAAGCTCTTTACCGTCCCCAGCCTGTGTGAAAGCAGAGTGTAAATTTCCCTCGGTGAAGAGGTTCTCTTTCCCTCCCCTATATGGGAAGAGGAGACAACCCATCCCAAGAGATGCTACCAACTTGAATCTGGGAAAACAAACCTTACTGAAATGACTCTGACTTTCCAGTAGTTTTTCTCATATATTTACCTTCCCACAATTCACATCCCTATAAGCCCAAGTCCTTTTTTCTTTGTCTCCACATTTTGTTAAAATTGTTATAAATTAGCCGGGGATGATGACACACTCCTTTAATCCCAGTACTTGGGAAGCTGAGGCAGGAAGATCTCCATGAGTTCAAAGCCAGCTTGGGCTACATAGTGAGTTCATGGCCAGTCTGAACAATATAATGAGATCCTGTCTCCCCGCCAAAACTGAAATAAAATAGTATATAAGCTATCACACCTATCTGCCTCTTTGAGGTTTTTGCTTTTTTCTATGAAGCTCCTTGCATCATGAAAAAATATTAATATTAAATAAGTTTTGATATTAATTTGCAGGGCCTGATACACTAAGCCTAAGAGGGTATCAGAAAGATCTCCCCCAATACCCACATACAAGAGCCGGAATTGAGATGAAAAGATGAATATGTATTTCCTAGACCAAAGGTTGACAATTTTTTTTGTTGTTGTTGTTTTTGCAAAGAGCCAGAGAGAAAATACTCTGCTTTGCAAGTCAGAGAGTCTCTACTGCAAGTACTCAGCTACATTGGCGCAAAGGCAGTTGTACACAATAGTAAGTCAATGGCCACGGCCGTGAGCCAATAAAGCTTTATTTACAAAAGCAGGAAGTCAAAGGCTTGATGTGTTTAGCCAAACCCTTCCTGGCATTTACTTTCTGGCTCTCCAGAACGAAGCTGGCTGTGATTTGTGGTGTTTGCTTTGTCCCGTGCTACCCGTGTGACCGCTCTGGACTTGGAGTTGGGCAGAGGTGGGCCGTGGAAATGGCAGTGGGGTGGGACCTGGGACCAAAGGAGCAGCAAGTATGGGGTCCCTGTTCAGGGAGAGAATGCGGTAAATACACAGAATTGAAAGAGGGCCACTGAGGCAGGAGGCCCTAGAGCCCAGGGCTGGAGATGGGCCCAGGCCTTGTTGGGTGTGAAAGGTGTCCCATGCTGGGGCTGGAAGGAGGTGCTGGGAGGCAGGGGGCAGGTGAGGTGGGAGATGCAATCAGCTCTGCACCTTGGAGAGATGGCAGGGATGTCCCCAAGCCCGAATGGTGGTCTGTTAGGAGCCCACTTCAGCTGTGACCAGAGCTCAAACTAGGCTGGCAGGTTGGAGGGGAAGGGAACTCATGGAGTCTCAGGGGCAGGGGAAGAAGTAGCTGTTGGGTAACCGTCTGGCTAATGAAAACAGAGAAAAGCACTGCACCCTGCAGCCCACGCCCAAGGGCTGGCTCTGCTCCCGTCTTCCTGGGCCTGCGTGCCTGTGGTCAGGGCACCACTCAATCCACGGGCCACTCGAGAAGATAGGGTAGACCGGGCAAGGTCCAGCAATGTGCCACCCACAAAAGGCCACCGATGCTCTGGGAACCCCAGGTTTCTGTAGCCTGCAGGGCTCCCCACTTACCAGAGTGTGGTGGGGCTTCTGGCTTGAGACTGGCTTGTGCACGGAGGCTCTTTTACAGGCGAAGAAGGAAAACCCTCTTCCTAGGAAGGGAAACAGCGATTCTTGGTCCCTTCTGGCCACAGGAAGCCAAGACTATGGACCAGGAGCCTTGGGATAGCCTGTCTAGGAGGAGCCCAGGACATTGCAGCAGCGGGGGACACCTACCCGAGAAAGGCTTCAGCCAAACTGCAGCCCCCTTGTCAGGCCTTGCTGAGTGACCCTGGGAAAGTTACCTCTCCTCTCTGATCACTTAGCCCACAGCAGGGGAAATACTGCCCTCAGGACCCTACGTAATCAAAATGAGCATTGAGTTAGGTGTTTAGAAGAGAAAAATCTAGCAAGCTCATAAGCTTCATTAAGATGGTGTTAAACTTGCAGATAGCCGTCCTGGAATTTAAAAATTGAAGACAATTTTATGGGTTGCATTTTTTTCCACTTTGAAAAAAATCCCCATTTGTGCATGACGGTCACGGGAAAAGCGAGCGGGGTGTAAATGGTTAGAGAAGTGGAGGTTGACAGTGGATGCTGTTACAATTTCCGGACCCAGCTTCTGGGTCCTTTGGCTAAGACCAGGTGCCCTGGAACTCACAGACAGCAGCTGCCCAGCTTCTCAGACTCACCTATGCTGAGCAGCAAATGACTGTCACCACTCCTTCCGAGTCGGTTTTTCAACCAGGCATGGTGACACACACCTGGAGTCCCACCCCTCCAGCAGGCTGAGGCAAGAGGGTTCCAAATTCAAGCTCAATTGGGGCAATTTAGCCACTTAGTGAGACCTTGTCTGAAAATAAAAAGTGAAAAGGGTTGCTGGGTACAGAGCTGAGTGGGAAAGCCCTGGATCCAATCTCCAGTACCAAAAAACAAAAAAAGTTGATCTTGGGGAAGTTGTTCCTTTCCATGTTAGTTTCCTCATCTGTGACATGGGTTTAGTGTGTCCTACTACACAGGATGTCATGAGGATGAACTAAAAGAGAGCCCAGCATGGTTGCGGGCATTTTGTAGACATCCACTAATAGAAATCTACTATTTGAATAAAATCCCACCCCCTGCTTCCCAAGAACTATGTGGTGTGGACTCTTAACTCTTAACTCAGAAGCACTGGCAAGTCAGTCGTTTTGATGGGGGCTGGTGAGGGAGAACCTGGCCTGGGGACATCTATACCACAACCCTCCCCACCTCCATACAGGAGGCAGAGGGGACAGGAGGCCAGAAACGGTATCTCACCCTTTATCAGGCGTCTTCTCTGCAACATTAATTCTTCTCTCCGGAATCTCTCTGAATCCAATTCAAAGTAGTCCCAGTTGTTATAGTTCTGCGGGCAAGCATGTATCCCTGAGAAAGGACCAAATGGATAGTGAGGACTTTTGCAAAGAGAAGGGAGGCAGCCACCCAGGACAGTGGAGGCCGAGGCCTTGGGACCCCTGCCGGTCCCGGGCACGGTGCCAGCCCCACCCTTCCCTCACCTTGGGGCCTTGGGTGAATCACGTCTTCTCCAATGGTGCAGGAGACCAGCTTGAAACCGCACTGAGCAGGCTGAGATGTTATCAATTTAGGTTATGAATTCTGCTATGGGTTAAAGTTATGAGTCACTCCAAGGCTGAAGTGTGAATTGCTAATTGACCTTTTGGCTGGTGTTCGGAAACAGACTTCCCCATGCCAGTGGTCACAGCTGAGGACTCAGTGATCAAAGAGGTTGTGATGTCTCTAATAGCAAGGAAACACTGCAGCTGGGGAATTATGACACTGTGCAACTGTTCTCCAAGATCAAGCGTTAGCTAACGGTAACGAAGTAGCTCATTAGCTATGATCCATGAGAGCACAGATGCCTTGTTAACTATGACCTGTCCTTCAAATACATAATTACTCCCTTTTTCCAAGCCTGGCTCATTAGCACACTCGTTCTTCTGTCCCCTACATCCGCCTTCATGCCCCTCAATACACTGCGTAATGATAAAGACTGGCTAATCCAGAGCTCGTGGTCTTGGCCAGGGCAGAGCTGCGATCAGGCGGTCTTCAGCCAGGAGAGCGCTAAAGATCAACTCCTACCCCCCAAGTAATAAACTGTCATTTATTATTTCTTCCCTATTCCTTGTTATTCGCATATTATTCTTTCATTCCCTGCTGTCCCCTCATCAGGTGACTGTGCGACCCCCGGCTATCAACCCGACAATGTGGTTTCTTTGTACGGCTGGGGATGATGCCGCCTTCCCTGTCTTGGCGAATGGTGTGAGGCTCAAGTCACAAGGTATGTGACAGCGACATGCTGTACGAGGGTGCAGGCGCTGTGGTTATTTGGTTTTCACTCATCTCCCCTGAGGTCCAGAGGGCAGGACCTGGAGCCTGCTCAGCTCTACACTCACACGGGGCCTCCTGTTGGACCTGGCACGGAGAGAGCAAGTGCTGAGCAAGTGTTTGTTGAATGCATTGTGGCTCTTTTAGTTGAGTGCTGAAGTGTCTTCTCCCTACCGTTTGGTGGTGAGGGCTGCCAGGGTTACTTGAGAATTGTGAGCCACGGTGCCTAGCCACCGGCTCTGTTGGATAGGAGCAAAGCAGGAGGGTCTGTTGGAAAGAGAGTGGGCAGGAGGTTTATTAGCAGGGATGAGTCGAGGGAAGGAGGTGCAGCCCTGAAGAAAAAGAGGAACCGGAAGAAGGGTCAGGAAGAGGGCCAGGGAACAGGTGGGGTTGTGCAGTGGTCAGACCCCTAGCTGTGGAGTGGGCCAAGCTGGGGTCTAACTCCTGCCCCCCATTGAGTGGCTGTTGGGGATTCTCCCTGTTGAGAAGATTAAGCAGATGTGCTGAGAAAAGTTAATGCAGAAGGCCTGACGCCATGACCCTTTGAAAGGCCTGTAAGGCTGCCCTTGGCTGGCGTCTGGGAACTTGGCTGGTAAACAGCTCCTTACGCCGACTCAAACTTTCTCCACTGCAGAACTGGCTAGCTGTGCCTAACTACACCTGCTCTCCTGGAATGACGACGCAGGACAGACACCACTGTCTCCGTGACCACTACTAGTGGAAACCTTGGCCGCTGCATTTCTAGTGGGTTTCCCCGGGCACAAACATCACACACAAGTTGCTGCATCCTTGCAGGAGGAGAAGCGGACCAAGTGACCCCTGTGGGAGGGAGGGAGACTATGGCTCCTCCAAACTTCCCTGTGCCCCATGCCCTGGCTCTGCACCTCTCTCCACTCCTATGAGAAAGCTCAGAAGAGACTGAACCTCTCTACTGAGATCTGCGAGTCCTTCCAGCAAATCTAGCTTGAAGGGATCTCGGGTCCCCCGACAAGTACTTTCTTAGCACAGAATGTAGTACACAGGAACCTCGCAATAAACAGCATTTGATGACTTTTGGAAGCGTCTCAGGCCTGGCTGGGGAGGGAGAGGAGGACTGAAGGGCGAGGAGAGGCTGGCAAGGTGGGTGCTGGGAGGAGGGTGATATGTTACCTACTCGGGTCCCATGGCAGGGGAGTGTGAGACTAATCAGCATGCGGCTGTGCGGTCCATAAGCCCACGGCACATGGTTAACTAAGGGGGCCGAGCTGAATCTTGGTGTCTTGTTGAGAAAGCACTGCATGTTCCCTGCAGACGTAGCCAGCCTCATAAAGTGGTCTAGGAAGGGATGTCCCACAGCCATTTTGAGGCAGCAGGAAAATTCATACTCCTGGGGTAGTTTTGTTTTGTTTGACTGGAGTCTTACTGTGTAGTTCAGGCTGGCCTTGAACTCCCTATGTAGCCTAGGCTGGCCTCAACTCCACGCGATCCTCCTACCCCAGCCTCCCAAGTGCCCGCATTACAGGTGTGTGCCGCCACGCCCGGCTTTCCTTGGGGCTTTAACCACACACTTTTCTCTCTTTAATGTAGGATTGCCTTGATGCAGGGGTGCGTGGCAAATAAGAATGTACCTAGGCTCCAGGGAAAAACTTCTTTCCCCGGGGAGAGAAGGTCACTGCTCACCTGCGATCCACAGGCTCATAGTGTTGCAGATGTCGGACTTGAATTCACGCGTGTTGAACCAGGACTGTGGGAAACAGCAGCAGAAGCTGGTGTACATGGCTTTGCTCAGCAGAAACGGCAGCCTCTGGGTGCAAGAGGAGATCAGGCAATGTTCTCTGTATTTTTGCCCCAAGAAAAAGAATCATGACTCCAGAAAGGATCTGCGATAAAATCCTTTCCCGACCCGAGCTGCCTCCTCCTGCCTCAGCCTCCCTAGTGCTAGTGCCAGGTCTACAGGCAAACATCACCAAGCCCCACTATTACTGAGGCCTCGTAACCATGGCTGAGCTCTAACTATACACGAATAGCTGGCATCACCCACTTAACATCATAATACAAGGACTTCCTTACATTGCTATAGCATCAGATTTTTTTCCCCCTAGTAGTGATCTTTGTAATATTATACTCTGGGCAAAATATTCAAATTTACGTAAACATCCTCCATCAGGAGATGTTTTTATTGAAAGTCAAAAATCTGAGAGAAAAATCCATGAATGAAGGCAGCTCCTCTTACAGGTTCTTTTTTTTTTAAGACAGGATCTCGCTATGTAGTTCAAGCTGGCCTTGCACTCACTGTGCTGTCAAAAATCTGAGAGAAAAATCCATGAATGAAGGCAGCTCCTCTTACAGGTTCTTTTTTTTTTTAAGACAGGATCTCGCTATGTAGTTCAAGCTGGCCTTGCACTCACTGTGTAGCCCAGGTTGACCTCAAACTTGCAGCGATCCTCTTGCCTCAGCCTCCCGAACGCTGGGCTTGCAGGCATGCACCACCAGGCCCAGCTAAAGCAGCGTCTCATTTAATCTTTAGAACAACTCAGAGAGGAATTACTATTTCTGTCTTATGGGCAATACAACAAGGCACGCAAAGCTCAGGAGCCTCGTTTAACCAGCGCTAAACTAGTACTAAGTGTCTGCTAGAGTGAGAGCGTGGACCCGTTTCCCACCCGCACGGAGCGAAGGCCGTTTTCCCTTCTCCTTGACCGCTCTGGGAATTGCACTTGTGAGTCAAGGACACCTAACAGGTAAAAGAGAATTTGAATGACAGTATTTCAATTTGCCTTTTTCTCATCGTGAAGGGTGAACCTTTCCCCCCACTCATACTTCTAGAGATAAAGAATCTCTAGGCTACGTGCTTTGTCCGTTGGTCTACAGGGTACCTAATTTTTTCTTATTGACTTGTAAATTCTTTATGTCATGCACCATCTATGTCGCTTTAGTTTTGCATAGTTTGTCATTTGCCCATCAACTGTGTTCATACTAGTTGTGTCCATAGCAATTAAAATGTGTGTCAAGAGCTCTAAATCTATCAGTATTTTCCTTTATGGCTTATTCCTCCAAGTCCTATTTCGAATTTTCTTCCTCACCCCTGAATCACGTAAGATTTCACTGTGTGGAGCAGTCCCTTAGAGCATATATTCTGTACCCATAGATGTATAAGCAGTACATACCGGTGTATATGCACACTTTCAGTTTTAATATTACAGGCTTCCTTGAAAAGGCATAAAAAAGAACAGGAAAATCTTCTAACTTTACTCCCCTGAGATAACCATTGCTAAGAGCTCAGTCAGTTTGTTTTCCAGATTGTTCTTCTGTCCACAGGTACATACCTCACTTAGCAAGAGGGATGCATCCTGAGAGATCTGTCATTAGGTGGCTTTGTCACTGCGTGGACACCATTGAGTGTATATATACTGAACACAGCTGTATAAATTCCTTCGCTTTTCACTCAAAATCTCTCCTATCCATCCCAGCTAGCATACAGAGCTCGCTCTATTTTTTGTAACCGCAGCATTATAAGTCAGCATTCAGATACTATCACCCCTTATTAATTTCTCCTTTACAGGAAGAGTGTTTAGAGCATTCCGTTGGCATTAGAAGTGAGTAGAGGGCCAGGGATTTAGCTCAGTGGTGCTGCAGCCTGCCTTGCAAGCAGAAGGCCCCAAGTTCGATCCCCAGTGCCCCCCCAAAAAAGAAGTGAATAGGAACATAATGTCTTCTTTATCCAGTGTGGTTTTTCCATAAAATGGAGTATTACTCAGCCATAAAGAATGATAAATTAAGGCTGGGCGTGGTGGCACACGCCTGTAATCCCAGCACTCGGGAGGCTGAGGCAGGAGGATCGCTGTGAGTTCGAGACCAGCCTGGGCTACAAAGTGAGTTCCAGGTCAATCTCAACTACATAGTGAGAACCTGTCTCACAAACAAACAAACAAGCAAAAACAAAAACAAAAAAAGACCAAGAATGAGAAATTAGATTCACTCATAGGAAAATGGATACATATTGAGGAAATACTCCTAAGTGAAATAAATAAGTCACACATGTATAAATACAGAATAGTTTCTCAGAGTACATAAGATCCTAATGATATAATTGACCATGAGAAATAAGAAGAAAGGGGCTAAAGGTGTAGGGAAAGTGGGAAGAGTAGGGGAAAGCTAATAAGGGAAAAGAAAAAAATATGAGAAAATGAAAAATGGAAATGAAATGTTTGTAAAGGGGGAGAGGAGGAGGGGTGAAGGGAGGGCAGGGACAAGGGGAAAAATGAGAACCAAGACCTGCCATGTAGAGGTACACGACCCCAATGATGAATGTAACTGCACTGCATACCTAAAATGTACCAATAAACTCAATGAGGAAAAGAAAAAGAAACCTAATGTCATGTTTTTCTAAGCAGAAAATGATGCTCACTTTTAAGAGCGCCTCTTCATAGTGAGACCTGGGCCCGTGGAACAGAAGGACGGTGTAGTGTCTTGCAATGCGGTCAAACAGCTTATTCTGGATCTCCTTGTCTGGCTGCCCAGAACAGAAGGGGAAAGAATTACTCGGAGTCCCTTGTTGTAACAGCCGAAGGGCTGGCGTTCTTCAAGCATTGCTCTCAGCTCCACAGATCTTATTCTTAAGCTATTCAGCTTTATATGCTTTATGAAATCATACCTCACCTAGAGGTGGACTATTTTTGAAGGGAGGACCGAACCCGGGGCCGGGAGATCCTGAGTTCTACTCTCAGCCCTGCCCTTGACCAGCCATGTGATACAGACCAGCTCATAAAGCTCGAGCTGGGGAGAGGATGCTGGGTAATGGCCGGAGCTCAGGTGAAATCCCAGCGAGCCAGCGGGGAGATCTGAGCAGGGAGGGGAGAGGGAGGGGTTGTAGGAGTGTTAAAGGGGCTGGAATCTCAAGAGGCTTTGCAGGAGGGTTGGGAGTTCAGGGCCAGCCTGGGTTACATACTGAAACATTCTTTGTCTTTAGGAAAAAAAAAAAAGCTGAAATTTGTTCTGTAGAAAATAACTATAGCAAAAGAAAAGAACTATAGCAAGGGAGAAAAACAATTAGATTTGCATTTACCTGGTATCTTTCATGAAATATCCACCAAAAGCTATCCAGCCATATCGCTCTGACAGAAGGAGAAGAGAGAAATTTCTCCAATTCTGTACCTGAACATAAAGACTTGGGAAAATTTATACATTGTTATTGTTGATTTTCTTTTATTCATTCAAGGTCACAGCTAGATTCGTAACCATCTTCACGCAGCACCTGCCGTCCCCCTGTGTCCTGAGCCCTGTCCCCCATCTTCCCTCTGCATTCACATACTTCAGAGCCATCAAGAAAGCCACCCCACCTCCCAGGGAGTGCTCGTGACTGCCTGGCCCTGAGTCAGGTGTTTACCTGCTCTCCCTTCCACTTCTGCCCTCTTACGAGCACGAGTTGCCTTCACAGGGTAGGAGAATGAGATTTTCAGAGGAAGACGCCTAGGGCCAAAGGGCTGACGGCGTTTGCCTAAAATAAGATGGCCAGGAGCACGGAGCAGGGCCGGAACTGTGACTCTAGACAGCTGCTCCTCTCCAGCTTCCCTGGGCTCTCACCTCCTGTGTCTGTTCAGGCAACAGTGCCCAACACCCACTGTAACGTACAGATATTCTACAAACACAAGTTTGTGCTGAACCTGGGCCTGAGGTGCACATGTATAATCCCAGGATTAAGGTAGCTGAGGCAGGAGGATGACCACGAGTTCCAGGCCAGCCTGGGTTGCATAGTGAGACCCTGTCTCAAAAAACAAACAAACAAACAAAAACAAAAGAAAAACAACAGCAATAGCAACAAAATGACTGCACGGTAAGATGTGGCTCAGTTAGAAATAAGCCCATGGGATTCCGAGATTAAGCCAATTATCTGTGAGTTCAGAGTGGCAGAAGATTTAGCGTTTGTGGGCGTAACAGAGTCTTGAACCTTGGCCTGAGCCCAAAGCTGCCACTGTCACAATATGACAGAGACATTTACAGAAGGCTTTGCTCCTCATCCGCGCAGATGGAGCAGCCTCAGACCCAGGCAGAAGGAAGGGAGGGAAGAAACACGCCGTGTGACGATGGTGACCCAGAGCAGCGAAAGGACAGGAAAAGGAAGGGACAGGCTGAGATGGCCCTGTGACCGGAGCTGCTTTGGGCACACGAGAGTTACGCGGTCATGAAGGATGAAGAGGCTCAGGGTACAGCTGCCAAGACCATTCCGGGGCCTGTACCCCTGTCCAGACCTCCCCACAATCACCCCTACCTCCCCTATCTCTTGGGTTCATTTTGTGCACACACACAGGGTCCCACGGTGCCTTTCTGCCTTCCTAAGTCCCCGGTGTGTGCGAGTGCACGGCTCTCCGGGCAGTGTCCTCAACCCAGGGCACAGCTACAGGGCGTGCGAAACACCCCAGATACACTGCCCTTGGCAAAAGCATCTAGGATTTGGGGTGAACTTGGGCTGGGGTTCCCAGCTCAGCTCTGTCCCCCAGAGCGTGTGGCCCTAGGCGAGCTCCTCAGGCTGGGCGAGCTGCCTACTCTCTGTCCTTACCTTGCCACTAAGTGGGTTCTTCTCTGCCCGGACCACGTTGCCCACCATGTCGCAAAAGCGCACCCCATTGGGGAGCTTGTTGGGCCCAGTGTTGTTATAGGGAGGGGGCTGGTACAGCTCAGCCAGCAGATTTTTGTCTGCGGTTTTCTAGAGCAAAAAAAGAGGAATGGGGAAATGGGCTCTGTGATTCTGACAGTTTAGGGCAATAGGATTTCTTCCCCTTTTTATTACAAAGGCAGCAAAACAACGTTACAGACCCTGAGAAAATGAAGGGGCTCATGGTTCCAATATCCCTTGCCAGATATCTATTTATAATATTTCTATATTCATATAAAGGCTTTGAGCAAAGGTATCCAAATATAAATATGTATTTTTTATTTATTTTTTATTTTTTGTGACAGGGCCTCACTATGTAGTCCGGGCTGGCCTTAAACTCATGGCAACTCTCCTGCCTCAGCCTCCCAAGTGCTGGAATTACAGGCGTCACCATGCCCAGCACAAATATGTGATTTTATTCATTTACACACACACACATATTTATGTCTTGCTTTATCTACTTTAGGTTTTTCATCCGGCAGCAGTCTTCACAATTATTATTTAAAATACTACAACTTAATTACTCACTAATTGCCTCCAATAGATATTAATAAGGAATAACTTGGAGTATATAGTCCCCAGGTATCCCTCCCCTTTAAATTGTTTATTTAGCATGATTTCCTCAAAACGGCAACACTGGATCAAAGGATATGACCATATGATACTTAATATATAACATTAAATTGGTTTTTAGAACAAAACTAACATGTAATATTTATTTATTTATTATTTTAAATTTTATTTTTATTTTTTGGTACCGGGGATTGAACTCAGGTCCTTGCGCTTTTGAGGCAGGTGGCAGAACCAGTGAGCTAAATCCCCAGCCCAACACGTAATATGTATTTAAAAATGTCAAAATCCAGAAAACTAAAAAGTGGAAATTACCATTCCCCCAAGGCACCTCTTGGAAACACTGTGAGAGGCAGAATTATTTTCTAACAGACTATGATGATCAGAAATGGCAGGGCAGCCTGGTGATTGGCCCCCTGACCCAGAGTCAGTGGTAGCCACTTCCTAGCTGTGCCACCTTGGGCAGGACACTTACATCTGCTCAGCCACCAAGGATGGAGAGCAAGACAGTTTCAACACAGCCTCGAGCATTAGGCTTCACGCTGCTTTGGAACTTGCTAGTCTAAAAGGTGGAAAAAGGATAACAGTAACTTCATACTCTCCAGCATGTAAAGCTCTGGGTGCATATGACCTGGGTTCTTTAAAAAACAAGCAGGGAGGTGAGGCAGGAATTTAGCTCAGTGGCACCACGCCTGCCTCACATGGGCAAGGTCCTGAGTTTGGTACCCAAAAAAAGTAGGGGAAAAATATTTTTTTTTGAGACCTGTCTTTCTGTGTATTTCAGGATGGCTTTGAACTCACTGTGTAGCCCAGGCTGGCCTCAAACTTCTGGCGATCCTCCTGCCTCAGCCTCCCGAGTACTGGGAATACAGGCATGCCCCATCTTGCCCAGGAGAAGAATCTTTCTCAAAATTTTTAATCTTTTATTTTTGTAGAGCTGTGGATTGAACCTATGGCCTCACACATGCTAGGCAAGCACTGTACCACTGAGCTATACCCCCAGCCCATGGAGGAATCTTCGCCGTGGAGGACTTGAGGTGAGACCAGATTGTGAGCTCTCTATCAAAATCACCATGCAGGAGCCAGGTTCCTCCTGCCCAGGAATAGAACCTATTCTGTGGCCAGTAGAAGGCAGAGACATATCCAAATGTCGGTCCCCTTCCCTTTTTATTCTGATTAGCACGTGTTTACAACATGTTACGATTACATTTATCATGAGGAGCTGGTACATGCACAAAACACATCTTAATTCCTTTTATGTCCACCCTCATCTCTCGGTCCCCTACCCTCTTGCAAAAGAGCCATCCCCCTTACCCTTTTTATAAGGGAAAAGTTGGTGGTCCTGAGTGCCGTGCCTCTGCAGGAATACTGTGCTTTTCTTGGTCTCTTGGCTGCAGGAAAATGGAGGAAGAGAAATCAGAAACGCAGAGCTCCAGGCATTACCCTTGCTTTGTGGTGACTGTCCCTGTGACTTGTCATTCCCCTGGGCTGCCAGGAGACACCACTCAGCCTGTGGTGACACCGGATCCCAAGTGTAATGTGTCACATAGTAGGTGATCCTTAGATGGTATTGTTCCTCCCTCCTTCCTTCACCAAGATCAAAAAGTCAGACTTAAGGCTCCTTCAGAAGAGGACAAAAATGTCCTCACGTAGAACTCAGGGTGTTTATTCAATTGCATTTTAAAAATTAAAAAAAATCAAGACTGGGGATGTAGCTCAATGGTACAGAGGTGTGTGTAAGGTCCTGGGTTGAATCCCTAGCACTGCAAAAACAAGAACAAAATTTTTTAAATAAAAATAACTCAAACCCCATGACGACATCTTCAAGGCTATGAGAAAATATTTTTGCCTCTGTCTCCCGGGCTGCTGAGACTTTTCTCCATTAAAGTCTTCTTCTCCAACTCAAATCTCTCAATGGCCTTAAAAAACCAGAAGAAAAAAACGGGGCATTAGAAATGGATGCAAATATTGGAGGAGATTGGGAGGGCCCACTCTTTGGGTACCCAAAAGGCCTGGGCAAAGTCTGTTTCCAGTCCTTCCTGCCTTCCTTCTATAGCTGGTGTCAGTGACATCCTCCCTGAGTGTCACCGAAACACCTACCTTTCAGGATCCTTTAATGATTAGAGATAGAGTATTTGATGCATTCTGAAACCCTAACACAGAGGTTATCAGATAGGATTGCTCACTGAGGAGTAACTATGGAATTATTAACCATTATACCCTTGACCTTTTTTTTTTGAGTCCTTTGATATCTGATATTTGATTATCTGGGGAACTCCCCCCACCCCCACTACCCCTTGTCGTACTGTTGTCAACCAAGAGTCCAGCAATGTGCTGGATAGCAAAGTTATCACTGCACCATCTACCAGCACAGAATGGATGCTGAGAAACCAGTCTGGCGCTGAGGCAGAAGTGGCCACACAGTGGAGGGCTGGTATATAAAAGGCATAGAAAATTCTGGTCCAAAGAGAGTGCACGGGGTGGCCCAGGGATACTCTTTGGCTGGTTGTAGGTATCAGCAGATCTGGCCAACTGCCTGGGCAGAGGAGCAAAAGGGACAGCGAGGAGATCTTCCTTCAGGTCACAGTGGAGCTGGAAGAGGCTCTTGACAGCCCTGTCTTGGTTCTAACTGGAGATCAAGAACACTTAAGAACTGGGCGTGGTGGCGCGTGCCTGTAACGCCAGCTCTTGGGGTGAGGGGCAGATGGGTTTGAGGCCAGCTGGGCAGCATAGCAAGACTTCAAGTCAAAACAAACAAACTCTCTGCTGGGCAATTCTCCACCAGATCCTGCTTCTGGGAGGGTAACTTCATTCTTTTATCTGACTCAAAAAAAATCGTTATACGAAAATCACAGAAGCGACATATGTGTTATCATTTTGAAATATCCAAACACACAGAAGTACTCTAATATAGAGTGGAAACTTCACGCCACTACTGCCCCACTCTTTTCCAGAGCTGACCCCGATCGCTTGGTGCTGATCCATCCAGGCGCCCCTATGCGCTAATGCACGGAGCACGGTCCAGCTGCGAGCCGGGTGTTCCCCTGAGCCCTGTGCCAAGGGCTGCATGAGCTCTGACTCATCTGACACAGCAACAACCCCAGCGAGTAGACATGTCATTGTCATACCTTTTATGGGACATCGAGGATTAAGTCACCTACTTCATGTCACAACACGAAAGAACAGTAGAGCAGGAATTGAAACTCCACAGTCTTACCCTGGAGCCTGCTCTCTCTCCCACAGATAAACACTCAGATATGCAGAGCGCTTTTTAGCCCAGGCGGAATCGTTCCAAATAGTGTGCCCTCGTACTTTGCTTTTATCTACACTTTAATTCTAAACTGTACTTGATGGCAGGGTAGAGACTGAGGCTAGAGGTCTCTCTCCTGCAGCCGTAAAGAATGGCTCCGCCTGTATGAAAAGCTATTTGACTACAGTATATGTGTCAAAATTAAAAATTTTATGCATAGGTCTCTACTGTGCAGAAATACTTGCAAATGAGCCCTAAGATGTACCAATATATTCACATGTTCACTGTGTTCCAAATGTCACTGAAACGTTTATCACATAGGAATACTTAACTTATGTCATGTCGAACCTATAGAATCTTATGCAGGCCTGAAAAGAATGGGCAGATAGATACTACTGATTTTGAAAACATCTTAAAGTATTTATACTAAAAATGAATGGATGAATAAGAGAAAACAAATGTAGACTATAAAATAATATTTATGGTATGATCCTGGTAATGTTAAGAGAAACAAACAAACAAACGACAAACAAATATACACTGATGCCAAAAGCAAAGACAGCCGAAAAGACAGAGTATTCTGCCAACTCTCAGAAGCCATGCCACACAACTGTCACTTACTCACTCCTCAGAACTCCTGCCTCTCACAAGGAGAGAGAGGAGAGAGAGACAGAGACAGAGACGGAACTGTCAGGGGTCAAATTTTATATTTTCTAAAATAAAGCCACGTGTGGCAGGACACACGTGTAATCCCAGCACTCGAAGGCTGAGGCAGGAAGATCACAAGTAGTTCGAGCCCAGCTTGGGCAATTTAGTAACTTAATGAGACCCTGTCTCAAAATAGGACTTGGCTTTTTTTTTTCCGGTACTGGGGATCGAACTCAGGACCTTGTGCTTGCAAGGCAGGCAATGGCACTGAGCTAAATCCCTGTCCCAGACCCTGTCTCAAAATAAAAAATAAAAAAAGGTTCTGGGGCCTGCTTCACATGCGCCAGGTCCTGAGTTCAATCCCCGGTACCAAAATATTAATAAGAATAATAAATAATAATGATAATAAAGGTCTGGGGTGTAGTTCCATGCTAAGGCCCTGCGTTTAACTCCTAATATTGACCCCCACAGCATGAATAGAAATTAACTTTCAGATTTCTAGTTTACAGTCTAGTTTACATGTGAAGATCTCAGAAGCCAGAACTCTGTCCTAACAAGTAAAAGGCTGAAGAAACTGAAACAACTTATCTTAGATCATCTGGAGAACTGATGTCATAGGGCAAATTATTGTCCCCAAATGAGAGAAATAGGAAGATACACAAAACTGCAACCTACTTGAGCAGAAACCTCCACAGGAAACAGCAGGAAAAACTAAACTAAACTATCGTTGATGAATTGCTGGAGGTTCAGGAGTCAAAAAATTAACTCAAAGTGGATCATAGTTCGGGCCGGGGATTTAGCTCAGTGGTTCCACAGCCTGCCTTGCAGGTACAAGGACCTGAGTTCAATCCCTCATACCAAAAAAAAAAAAAAAAAAAAGAGGATCATAGTCCTAACTGTGAAATGTAGGCCAGGCATGGTGGTACACACCTGTAATCTTAGCACTTAGGAGGCTGAGGCAGGAGGAGCTCCATGAGTTCAAGGCCAGCCAGGGCTACATAGTGACTTCAAGGCCAATCTGAACAATATAGTGGGACCCTGTTTCAAAAAAGCGGGGGTGGGGATTTAGCTCAGCTGTTCAGTGGCCTGCATTGCAAGCGCAAGGACCAGAGTTCAATCCCTGGTACCAACCCCCCGCCAAAAGTAAAATGCTAAATTATAAAATCCCTAGAAAACAGCACAGGAGAAAGCCTAGATGACCTTGAGATTGGTGATAACTTTTTAGATATGACACCAAAGCACAATCCATGAAAGCAGGAATCAATAAGCTGCATTTCATAAAATAAAAAATTTCTGCTGTGTCAAAGACACTGTCAAATCAATGAAGTGACAATCCATAAATGGGCAGAAAATAATTTGCAAAAGGCATAGCCAATAAATGACTGTTATCCAAAATATACAAAGAACTCTCAAAACTCAGCAGTAAGAAAACAACCCAATTCAAAAATGGATCGAAAACCTTAACTGATACCTTACCAAACAAGATATTTAGATGGTGAATAAGCACGTCATCAGAGATGACTCTCTGTATCCCACGTCATCAGAGAAACGTGAATTAAAATAGCAATGAGATTTTACTACATACATAGTAGAATACCAAAATCCATAATACTAACACCAAATGCCAGTGAGGACAAGGAGCAAAAGGAACTTTCATTCATTGCTGCTAAAAGGCAAAATGGCAAGGCCACTTTGGTTTTTGTTTTGTTTTGTCGTTTGAGGCAGGGTCTCATTGTGTAGCTCAGGCTGGCCTCAAGCTCCCAACCCTCCTGCCTCAGCCTGCCGAGTGCTGGGATTTACTGGTGTGTATCATCACATCTGACTGGTAAGGCTACTCTGGAACAAAGATAGTGGTTTCTTACAAAGTTATATATAACCCTTTCTACAAGAGCCAGCAACTGTACTCCTCAGAATTTACCAGAGGGAGCGGATATCCACACAAACCCTGCACAGGGATGTTTTACAGCAGCTGTATTCAGTCATCAAAACTTAGAAGCAGCGGGCGGGGGATGTAGCTCAGTGGTGCAGCCGCCTGCCTCGCAAATGCAAGGTCCCTGGTTCGATCCCCGTACAAAAACAACAACGACAACAAAAACAAACTTAGAAGCAACCAAGATACCCAAGTAGGCTGCACTGATAAATAAACCATGGTCCATCCGGACAATGGAACATTCCTGAATGCTAAAGATAAAGAGCTATCAAGCCATGAAAGACTAAGAGAACCTTGAATGCATATCACTAAGTGAAAGAAACCACGCTGAAGAAGCTACACCATATTATTCCAATTCTATGACATTCTAGGAAAGGGAAAAGTATGGAGATGTTGAAAAGATCAGAGGTGGCCAGGCTTGGGAGTAGGGAGTGGAAGCAGGCAGCACCCCGAGGAGTTTCAGGGACCCTGCGCCCGCTGTCTCAAGCTGGTCCGAACTCATAGAAGGCCCGATACCAAGAGCCAATGCGCGGATAAATCCCAGGTGTAGGTGAAGTGTGTGACTGTAGCCTCAGCGAGTGTAACAACAGGGCTGTGCAATGTTGGCGGGATGGAGGCATGAGCGACAACTGGCCTTTCCACTCAGTTTTGTTGTGAATGTTAAATTTCTCTTTTTAAAAAATGGTGTTAATTTTTAAAACCTTTGAAACTTCCATTATGCAGATATGCTTGCAAATGAATGGACACACACACACACACACACACACACACCCGCCCAAGCACTGTAACACCTTGAAAATGGAGGGGCCCTTCCTTCCCGGAAGCCTCGGCTCCGCTCCAGAGCCCGTAACTCACCAAGCTGTTGGCCATCGAGTTGGAACTCGGGTCCATCTCAGCAATCCTCTGGTTCACCTGCAGAATGGATCCGTGGACGCACGCTGGGAGGGGGCAGCTAAGGAAGGGTCAACCACGACATCTCTCCACTTCATTGTTTTGTCTGTAAGCATTCACGGTGCTGAGGATTGAACCCAAGCTGAGTGGGGGCTTAGACCCGGCTGCAGCATTCTTCACCTTTGTGTGTGTGTGGGGGGGGTGTCTTTAAAAGGGTCTGGTTCTATACTACAGGCTGGGCTCACACTCGAGATCCTCCTGCCTCGGCCCCCCAAAGGCTGGCATTACAGGAATACACACCACACCTGGCTACACTTCATCTCGTTCTAAGGGAGCTGCTTAGAAATTGTAAATGAAAGTTGACGACATTGTAGACACCTTGGAAAATATAAAAAGGAAAAAAAGAACCACTTTGCTAAAAACTGTTATAGGATCTGGAGAAATTTCCTTCTGATATCTTTTTTTTTAATTTTAAAAACTTTTTTACACTGAAAGACACATTGGCATTAATCCCACTCAAACATCAAACACACTTATCCCATCATTCTTGCCGCTTGCTTTTTTAAAAATTGTATTAGTACACACTTGTGGTACACAGTGATCACATTTATCGTGAACACTTGGTTCATGCTGGTGACGCATCTTAATTGTTTTCGAATTCCCTCTTCCTCTCCTCTATACCCCTGTGATGTAACCATAACCTCAGAAGATGTTTATTTTCCTCCTCTGACTTCCACCATTATTGGAAGCGTTTTCTCTATGTCTAAATAATCAATAATTATTTGCAGTATGTTGTACTAGTCTATTTGATGGATGTACCTTCATACACTCAGCTACCCCTTGCTTAGAGAACATTTAAGCTGCTCACAACTTCCTGCAACTCTACACAATACTCAGCTATGCAGGGTCATGTAGAGAGCTGTCTCATATTTTGGAATACTTTTTTCTTTTACATAATATTTTATTAGTACATGTTTGCAGCACATGCGGTTTATGATCATCTTGGGAAGTGGGTACGTGTATATAATACAGCTTGTTTCTTTTTTTTTTTAATCCCTTTCCCTCCCCCTCCCCTCCTTCCTCCTCCAATTCCCCGGTACCAGTTATCATTCTTATTGATATTAGTAATCTTAGCTCATGTTATGGCACATGATGTTTACATTCATGGAGGTCATTGTGTTCCTGTACGTGGCATATCTTTATTCTACTTATTTCCCCCCCTTCCCTCCTCTTCTCTCCTCCACCTTGTTCTCCGAGACTCCTTCCCTATTGCAAAAGATCTGTCCTTGTCCCCCTCTATGTATCCTTTATTATTTTCTTTGTACTTTGCCTTTAAGAGAGATTTTCAGGGGAGGAATGGCTAGGTCAAAGGATATTGTGACCTTGTTCACCACCGTTAAAATATGCTCCTTTCCATGCCCCTCTGGATGCCCTCTTGACGTCCACATTTCCTTCTGTCTGAGCCTCGGCTGGTTTAGGATACAGCCTTCCGAAAGCCACATAATCCCATCTCTCCTCATGCCTTTCACAGAGAGTGGGATTCACTCTTCCTTCCATTAGCCTCAAGTGGCCTCGCCAAGCAGAGGACACTTGAAAAATGAGGACACCAAGAAGGGACATGACAAGTCAGAGAAAGAGAAATGCATCTGTGAGGCTGAGAGGAGCGCAGGATTAAGCAGCAAGAGGGGGCATCAGCAACGGGCCTAGCAAAGCGAGACCCTGAAGCAGACTCAGACAGGATCACGCCTCACTGCATCTCAAGAAGGGTTTCAGACAGGCGAGGAAGGCGAGGGGCAGAGCAGTCCACACTCTTTGCCTGGTGGCAGCGTGACTTGATGGTGTGGTGGGAACAGTCCTGGGTAATTTATAACCTGAGACGGCTGTTTGTTGGATGGGCTGGCAAGGGCTCTAGAGATGGGGTTCTGGGATTCTGGGGTGCGATTCAGGAGGGAGATGAGGATCAGTGAAGACGGGACCAGGAAGGCAGATTCTGGAAGACCCTGGATGGTTACTGGAAGGGGCAGAGACAGGGCCCGGGCAGAAGGGCTGGCAGGGAGAAGTGAGGTCAACCAGAGTGAAGACAGAAAGCTGAGTCCCAAACTCACTTCTACCTTATTTTTTCAGCAAATACATCCTGGGCTTCTTCCTTTTGACTCTTTCTGTTTATATCAGCAACAAAAGAAGTCAGGCTGAGAATGTAGCTTAGTGATAGAGAACTTGACTTGCCAAGCATGTGTGAGGCCCAGGGTTTCATCCCTAGTGCCACAAAAATGAAATAAAGCAAACAAAAACAACTCAAACCAATCCTTGGCAGTCGCACATTCTTTTAAAGGATAGGTTTGAGTGTTTGGAAGAAAATTAATGAGTGTATATAGAGTGCCCTAGTGAGTAGCTCGTACCATAGATGTAAACGCAAATTCAGCCTCTGAGCCCTGACTCAGTCAGGTGCATCTGGTGTGGTTTTCAGCACTGCCCCAGGAAGGATACTGGATAGACGGTCCTCTAAAGTCTTCCTCATAGCGCATTCTGTTGCTTTTTGTACACTGAGGGAGACCGCCCGCTGCTCAGCTACTGGTATCACTGGTAAGGCGGAGGCGTTGATGATGTCCATCTGCTTGTTGCAATTCATCATTCGATTTTGTGTAAACTGGCAAAAAAAAAATGTTCCCATGTTTAAAAGTCCCTCATTTCCCCCACCAGTCTTTTTCTTTGTTCAGTCAACCTCCTGGAAATCACAATGACATAGAGATGATTTAGAAAACACAAGAGGAAGCAAGACCAACAAGGTCACCTGCTAACCAGGGCTGATGGCCCAACGTATGACCCAGGCCTCCGTGGGGAAGAAGGGCTTTTGTCTGGAAGCCCATTCAAGGAACTGGTATTTGTTTCTTCAACATGTGGCACCCACAATTAAGAAGTATTGGAGTTTTAAAAATAAAAAGACTAGAGGACTGAAAAACCCAGGCTTCTAGACTACCAAGCCAGCCAGTTTCCAAACTAGAAGTGAAATCAAGACTTTGCCACTCTGATCCTTAGCTGCAAAAGCAGGAGATTTGGAGTAGATGACCCCAAGTCTCTGCCAGGTCTCAGATGTGATGATTCTAGGTTACAGGGCCCAGCTCCTCAGCACAAAACTCCCAGTCTACCTGGGGCTTTCCGCTCCCTCTCAGGAAACTGGTCCCATCCCTTCCCTTCCTCCCTAGCTCTAGAACACTCTGGCCTGACTGCTCTCCTAGGTCTTTGCTTAGTGGCCAAGGGTCCAACACTAGCATTTCTTGGTCCCCATATCCAGAGCCAGCGTTATCGGCCCATTTGTACAAAAGCCAAAGCTTAGATCCTATCCTTAAGCAATTTATACATAATGGAAGGACAGAGAGAAAAAAAGATCAAGTTTGGTGGAAAAGTTAACCCAGGTGGCCTCTCACGGCTCTCCCTTCCCTTGTCCCCTGGCTCAGGCTTTGTCTCCGCCCCTTCACCCCAGCCACGCATCCCATATACCTGACACAGTGAATGTCCTCCTGGTCCCTGACAGTGTTACGCATCTATTCCTTTGATCATGGTCTTCTGTCTACTGGACTCAGCCCAGGTGAAATATCTTTTGGAAAAACCCCTTGAATTATTCCAGACCATTATCACTCTGCCTCCTCCACAAAGCCCACAGCTCTACTTTCATCTCTTGATTATAGCACTTAAAATATTGAACCGGAATAACTGTTTCTACATCTTTCTCCACTCGGCAATTTACTCCTTGAGGAGTTCATTTAATATTTTATTTATTTTGGCCTCACTGCTTTTGAGTCCAAAGTCTGCTGGATTACAGGAAAAGCTAGCCCAGGCCCAACACCATCTCCTGTCTCCTGCTCCTATCCTTCAGCCGTGTATAAGCAAAGGGGAGATGGGTAGGAGGAGGCAGGTGCATTTTAGGGCTTCTCATTTTCCTCCCACTCGTTCCCCAGAATGACTAGAAAACTACATGTTCTCTGAGAAGCCAGGCTTAGGTGACTCTGTCAAAAAGCCTCCTGACTCAGCTTAACATTATTACTCATGCTTAATGGGAGGCTTGAAGAGCATGCTTTTTAAGAGAAATGTTTAAAATACATACCCTGTTCTCTGATGAATTTTTCATCAGTGAAGCCTGATAAGTTTTTACTTGGATAGAAGCAGGAAGAAAGCTGGCTTCACTGACTAGCTACACTACAGCAAGCACTGTGTTATATCCTGGGACTGAGCCGGAAACCTTGTACCCTCAGGGAACAGATTCCAGCAGCAGAGATTTCAGTGTCCCTTGATGAAGGCCGGCATATCCTAGCATGTGAAAACATTGCTGGCTGTGGAGTCAGGAACATTTCTGTTCGCCTTCCTCTTCAGGTCCACCCCCCACCAGAGTTCCAACTCATGAGCTTTCCCTTGGGAAGCAGGCGCAGCACCACTGGACTAAATCCCCGCCCCTCCCCTTCAGTCTTTCAATGGCTGTTTACTGAATACTCCCCACAAGCCTGCAATGTGCTCTTCCTGGGGACAGGATGGTGAGATAAACCAGATTTGATCACTATTCTAATAATAGTGCTTACATCTACTGGGAAAGGCTTGTAAAAATCAAATAAACACATAAGTAATTATAAATTCTAATTCATGAAAAATAATTATGAATTATAATAATGAATGATACCTGTCCCTACTGTTTCACGGGGAGGTGTGTGGTGCTATGAGATGGAACACTAGTGTAGTTTAATGCATTGGGAGCGGGGTGCCACAGCACTAAAGGAAGAGTAGGAGTAGGGAACATCTTACAAGCGGAAGGCAGCAAAGCTGGAGAGGTGCAAAGAAGCTAGACTTATGCTGCCCATCGCAGAAGCCACTAGATACATGTGACAAGTGACCCCTTGAATTGGTTAGCGTGACTGAAATTAAATTTTATTTTACTTAATTTACATTTTAAAGCCGAAGCAGTATAACATTTAAAATACCGATTGATTTGAAAAGAGAATACTGAATTATGGGTGTGTGGAGTAAAATAAAACATTCAAATTAATTGTACTCGTTTTGTTTTAACTTAGAAATATAACTCCTAGAAATTTCAGATTACGGGGTCTGCTTTACGTTTCTGTTGAACAGTGCTGGGCTAGACAGTGCAGACTTTGTTGTGCCCTGATCGCGATATCCCCAAAGACCACCAAGGAGTCGAATTCGATGTAACTACATGAGGAGTTTATTGCAGGCTCGAGCCCTGCAAACTCGAGCCTGGGCCCCCGTACCTCACTGAACAAGCGGATCAGAGATGAGAGCCCCGACTCACTTTCAGAGCATGATTATATAGGGTTGGGGAGGCTTGAAACTCGTTCTCCTTTTTATTGATGCTATTTTAAACTTTCTATTGCTATTGGATATTGCCGGGGTACTTACGGGAATAGGAGGCTGGAAGCGGGAAATAACCAATGCTCACGAGGAGGGGCAAGTTCAGCAGGGTCATTACGTTCTTTTTCCAAAGAACATCCTATATGATTAAACAATTAGGCAAACTCTCTATGCTTAGCATAGCATGGGGTTTTCTTACTTAACTTGTAGGTTCACCCTTAGGTCAGAAGAAGAGGAACAGAAAAACAGGGAGGAGGTTGTTATACAGAATGGAATTTCGGCAGCTCTCTGCCCAGAAAGTTTTCTGGGCAAAGGGCAAAGAGGGAGCCCACCTCGATCAGAAAACTTCGTTCCTACAACTTTGGATCTAGGACATGGAATTCTCCCCTCTTTAATGCAGTACTGGTGTAGCTGGAGGAGAATCCTGTCCCTCATCGCACAGATAACTTAGTATATACCCGGTACAGCCAGTAAATATCTCTTAAATGACCCAAGTTTCTTAGTTTACCAAATGGCGCCAAAAATACACGCTGTTAGGATAGTAGGAGATCTAAGGTTGATTCTCGAGTTCTCTGCCCCTGGCTTACTGGGCGATTTTGAAGTGGTTCTGGGGCCTCAGTTTCCCTTGTTTGTAGAAGCGAAAAGTGTCAGGGCATGGGTTGGGGACAGACCTGCCCAGAACCTGTTCACTGTCGGAATGGGGTCACCGTCCTGTCCGTTTGCCCTACCTGAAAGCATCGGCAGAATCCGACGAATTTGTGGACGGTAGCGCCACGGGTCCCTCAGGGGACTCACAAAGTCCTGGATGGGCACCCGGCACCTGCTGCCCCACATGCACCAGGAAGGGGTGACCTTTGCTTTGTGAGTGGGGCGGGGGCAGAAGAGGAGTCGGGGAAAAGCCCATTTTGCTACTGTGATCGTGTCTGTGTGTGTTCTGTAGGCAACGCCGGGTGTGGTCACTAGTTTCACTTTTCCTACAACAATGGAACCTTTGCCAGCCGCCACTGTTCTTTAGACGCCGTTACCAAGGTGACGGCCGCGGAGGGCTAGGGGACCAGATCAACCTGTCTGGGGACAGGTTGGGGGGAGAGTGACCTCTCGTCTCATCCTCTAACAAGAAGATATAAATGACTTTCATAAGACACTTTCTTTGTACAATTTTTTAGTATACTGGAGAGAGCCCGCAGGCGCCTCTGGTGCTTCCCAGTGGGCTTGCGTTGGCCTCTCACCGACACCGACACCCCCTTTCCTGATGGTACAGTCCGAGGCGGGGTCGCGCATGCGCACGACGAGCAGGTAACGGCAAGCTGCTGGGCCAAGTTGCTAGGGGTCCTTCTGGGTCCTTGCTGGCATCCAGGGATTGACTTTGATCCTGGCTTCTGGGACGCGACAGGTATGACCCTGAGCCTGGCTGGCAACGAAGCCTGGGATCATCCGATTCGGGTGGGACGCCCGGGCTTCCCCTGGAGAGGATCTTTGGGGGTTACCCCAGGCCGTCTCCGCCTTGCCCCAAGTGTTTCCTTCTGTGTGAACTGGGATAGGAGTTGACCACCCCCCAAATAGGATAGAGGGTGATTAAGTAAGATCATGCGTGTGAATGTGTGTACACACCGTTACCTGAATGCGTGAGGAGCCCTGGTGGCCCTTGTACCCGTGAGACGTATACCTGATTGGCTCTTAACTCTTTGGGGAACGCGTTTCCCCTTGATAATATGAGGAAAGTCAAAGATTCCTCCCTTACCTTCTTGTCAGAATTGATGAATAAATTTTATGGCCTGTTGCAGACTAAAGCTTTAGATCATGATCAACAACTAGTATCATGATCTATAAGGAGGAACACGCTTGACCCTACTTCTCAGGGTCGCCGTGAGGACCAAATGCCACAACGTCTTAGGAGCACTAAAACACTCTAACAACTTGTGAACTGGATGCTGTTATTATTCCTGATCACGAACAAAGATGTCAGGATGCGGGGGATACATGTAGGAGTGCCCTGAGTGACCAGCAGATTGATGGTTGAGTCAGGTGCTCAGCCTTCACTTTCTCTTTCCCAAGGAGTTTGACTAGAAAGACATCACCTTGGGCCAGGGGGACAGCTTGTATCTCGGCCTGAGTATTGCCCGAGGACCCCAGGTCTCAGGATCTCAGCCCAAGGTGTTTATGAATTGTTAGATATAACTTAAAAAGTGGCTAGTCCAGACATTCCTTCCCTTCATCTGTAAGTTATGTGTCACTTAATGGTAGGGGCACCTTCTAAGAATGCCTTGGGGTCGGGGTGGAGGGAGAATTTCATTAGCTGTACAAATGTTATATGGTATACTTACGTAAGTCTAACTGTATTGCCTAGAACACATAGGAGAATGTGTGTGTGTGTGTGTGTTGGCCTATTGCTCCTAGGGTCACAGTGAACAAAAATTCATGAAATTAAATCAAGCATAAGAGAAAAGAATGCATTCAATAGATGTAAATTTGAGACATCTGAGGAGAGTGTCATGCTGTTTTACCCTAAATGTTTTTTATAAGTAGGAGTATACTAATGATAAAAGTATAGTATAATAAATATGCAAACCAGTAACATGGTCTTTTATTATAAGTATTATGTGCTATACATAGTTGTATGTACTATACTCTTATAGGCCATGCTGTACATTTCTTTATGCCTCTTCACCATAAACATGTGGGCTGTGCTTTTTGCTACAACTGCATGGCCACGAAGTCAGTAAATGACAGGAATTTTTCAGCTCCATCATAATCTACAGGACTACTGTTGTGTAGGTGGTCTTTCATGACTGAAACTTTTCATGTGATGCTCAGTGGTTGGCAGTTCTTAATCTAATGGTTATGAGAATTAGTGAGGCCACGCATGAGAAGCCCCAGTTAAAACTCCAAGAAACTGAGTAACTCTACTGAGGTTTAGCAATTAGCTGAGGTCCAGAGCTAGGCCTGAACCCTTGTCTGTCTTATCTGGGTGATGGTCTTAGGCACAGTCGTCTTGGTGCAGTTGGGAAAATTTGCAAGAACCACTTGTCTTACTTTTCCTTCTTCTCCAGATGCTTGGAGGGCCAGGGACTGCCTTTTAACTATTTTTTGTTTGTTTTCTTCATAACTGATAACATGAATATATTATCATTGTAATAATCCATTAAACCCAGAAGCACATTTCTTTAATATGATTTTATATTATATTGTATCAGATGGAATTGCCAAATTGGACCATTTTTTAACCTATAAAATAGCAGTTTCATCCAAGGAAGTCAGCTATTCACCTTCCCAGGTTTAACCACATAGCACACTATGAATGTTCCCGTTTGTCATCTTATATGGGATTGTATTATATACATTGTTCTGCAGCTTGCTTTCTTATGTTCAAACGTGCTTATGGAGGTTTTCTGGTCAGTCCATATACAACTGTCTCACTATCTGTAATTGCTGTTTACTAATCCAGTATAAGAATGTGCCATAATACATTTGGCTATAACCCTTTGTAGACATTTTGGAGTATTTCTTATTTTTCAAAAAATAGAACACATTTGTGCATATACAAGTCTTTCTGGGGTTTGAGTCTGTTGCAAGATCCTACCCCTTCAGTTTTTTGGAGGTGAGAAGTTTTTGCCTACTTGGCCCAGCCCTAGGCTCTTTGACACTGGCCTAGAGTATTTTTTAAAATCCTTAGGCAATCTCAGTCTTGGTATACCAGGAAGAACAACTGATTAGCACAATTATGTTACCTTGGCTAAGGTAGTACAATCAGCAATAGCCATGTTATCAAACAGCCTAGAAAATGACAAACTGTGGTAACTATTAATTTGCCACCTTTAACCATATGAACTAGATTTGTGGTTATATAACAAAATCTAAAATGAACCAGGAAATTGTTTGAAATGAACAAGCCCTCAATATGGTTATTTTAAAAATATATATATGGTGATTTTACCCTTCAGGAGAAGATTTAAAAGGGGTTAGAGAGGACAAATAGAGAAATAGAAGAGGAAGTGATTAGAAGCAAGGTTGGAGGGCAAAGGAAGATCATACAAACTTTAGGAAACTGGTAAAAAAAAGAGATGGGAAAGAGAGAAGGAAGTAATAAAATGAGAACAGAACAAAGCAACAACAACACAAAAACTAGAAACTGTTCACACTCATGTAAAAACAATAACAAACAATCAAGAAAAAACAAAACAAGAACAAAAACCAGAAAAGGGGGCGGGGAGAAAGAAGAAAAAAATTTAAAAGTCCAATTCAAGATGTGTCTCTGCTGTCACTGGTAGACAACTTTGGCAGACAGAGTTGATTAATCCCAGGGAGCCAGCTGTAGCTTTATGGTGGGGTCGTGGATAATGCCAGAAAGTCTGTACTTTTAGTTCCACTGAAGCTCAGGCTGATTTCTGGCTATGAGACTAGAACCAGATTTGTTGAGCCTGCAACAGCCTGTGTGCCTCCTGCCTTCTTGAACCTGGCACCCTCACTGTGACACTGGGAGCCACTAGATGGAGCTGACCAATAACTGTTTTGAGTTCTGAGCTCAATTGGCCCCTCTCCAAAATGGCTACTGGCCAATCACCCTCTACTGGGTGATGTCTGAACCTGAATAACTCAACAGCCACTGCAGTCCACTGCATCCACTACTCTGCTCCACTAGTGGGTTTTTCCATGGAGGCCTCTGTGGTCACCAGTAGTCAACGTGCATCTGCAAGTTCAACCTGCCCTTCCCACACTGTGAGTCTGGACTAGGAGAAAGTGCCACCTGCCATCTTCCTCCTTTTTGCTGAAGTCTCTTTCTTTGCTCTCTCCATGGACTTTAATTCTCATTTCAGATCTTTCTTGGATCCTGGGAACCCACTTTCCTCCTCCTTCTTCTCTTCATGCTGCTATATTCCAGTGGCAGGACATCAAATCTCAGAAAGGCTCTTTCTCTGCTGCTCACCACTCCACCATCTTCTGTACAAGTCTTTCTGGAGGACAAAATTTTAGAAATAGATTTGTTACCCAAAAAGTATGAACATTGTTGGATGTGGTGGCTCATGCTGTAATCTTAGCACTTGGGATGACGAGAGTGAAGGATCGCCAGGAGTTTGAGGCAAGCATTGGCTACATAGTGAGACATTATTTCAAACAAACAAAAAGTATACACATTAAAAATATTGTTAGTTGCTGGGCGTAGTGGTGTACCCAGTAATCGCAGCACTGAAGAGGCTGAGGCAGGAGGATTACTGAGAGTTCAAGGCTAGCCTGGGATATGTAGTGAGTTCAGGGCCAGCCTGAACTACAAAGCAAGACCCTGTTTCAAAAAGCAAAAGAATTTTTAAAAAAATTGTTAGGCTTTGCATAATTGTCCTTGAAAGAATTATCATAATTTATATTTCTGCTGATAATAAATTGCCTTTTTCTTCACACCTTCACCAACATTGGATATTTATTCACTTTTTTTTAACCAATATGATAGATGAAAGTGCTTCTTTTAAAATGTACCTCCTACCAGGCGTGGTGGTACACACCTGTGATTCCAGCACTCCCAGCACTCAGGAAGCTGAAGCAGAAGGATCACTGGGAGTTCAAGGCCAGACTGGGCTACATAGTGAAGTCAACCAGCCTGAACTACATAGTGAGACCCTGCCTCAAAAAAGTTAAAACACAAACAAAAAAAGATGTACCTCCCAAGTTATTAATACGAGGATAATTTGATACATACCTTTAGCCAACCATGACTATCTACCAGACATCACCCAGTAGAGGGTGATTGGCCAGTAGCCATTTTGGAGAGGGGCCAATTGAGCTCAGAACTCAAAACAGTTATTGGTCAGCTCCATCTAGTGGCTCCCAGTGTCACAGTGAGGGTGCCAGGTTCAAGAAGGCAGGAGGCACACAGGCTGTTGCAGGCTCAACAAATCTGGTGCCAAAGCATGGCACCGGTGCCATTGTCAGCCCTCCCCTTTCCTTGATGACATATGGACCAGGTGGGAAGCACTGTTACCAATCTGAGAGTGGGCACAAGGATAGCTGTGTGTCTTTAAAGTAGAGGACAGCCGGACGTGGTGACTCACACCTGTAATCCCAGCACTCAGAAGGCTGAGGCAAGAGGATCACCAAGAGCTTGAGGCCAGCCAGGGCTACATGAGTTTTCATGATTTGAGAACAGCTTCAGGTCACTGACCTTTTGACCTTTCCTAACCCCACACTAAGAAGCATTGGCCTTTCCCACAGCAAGCAAGATGCCTCTCTTTGGGAATATCTTCAGTCCGAAGAAGACACCTCCCCGGAAGTCGGCTTCCCTGTCTAACCTGCAGACCGTGAGTGTGGAGCAGGGCAGCCTGGCACTGCAGGGCTCGGTGCCTGGTGCTCAGCAACAGCGGGGGCCTTCAGATGAATTGTCCTAGGGGAGCATCCTCTGTTTATTTATTTAGGTGTCAGGGATTGAACTCGGAACCTTGCACTTGCGAGGTAGGCAGCGGCACCACTGAGCCAAATCCCCAACCCAGAAGGGCATCCTCTTAATTCATTGATTGCTGTTGCTAAAAGACAGTCTTTAACTCCTATTTGGGGACTATTGTCAGAGTTTGTCAGAGTTTGGGGACTATTGTCAGTCAAGAGATAAAGGAGACAGTCAATCTTGTTACAGTTTTTGGTCCCAAACAATATTATCCAATTTGACTTTCATTTCATTCCCAAGACTTGGGTGGGAACTAATTTTAGTCATGTTTAAGAATCAAATTCACCTGGGCCACATAGTGAGTTCCAGCTCAGTTTCAACTACACAGTGAGACCCTGTCTCCAAAAAAAAAAGAATCAAATTCATTGTCAAAAGACAATGACTTGGCACCATTAGTGGCATTCAAAAGGGTAATGCGGTTTCTGAGGATGTTTGGAAGCCATAACGATAGCATTGAGATAAATGATAACTTCCCCCTTGAATGTATAAGCTCTGACTTTCAAAGGTTATATGACCTTTTCTGGGTGTGGTGGCGCACACCTGTAATTCCAGTGCTTGGGAAGCTGAGAGCAGGATCACTGTGAGTTTGAGGCCAGCCTAGTACATAGTGACTTCAAGGATAGCCTGACCTACATTGTGAGTCCCTGTCACAAAACAAAAAACAAAACCAAACATTATATGGGGGCATAGCTCAGTGGTAGAGAACTTACCTAGCAATGTGGGGTGCTAGGTTTGATCTCAGTGCCACATAACGTGTGTGCATGCACACATACACACGCACACACACACACACACACACACACACTAATTTTTATTTTTTTGGTACCAAGGATTGAACTCAGTACATGTGCTTGCCAGGCAGGTGTGGTGCCCCTGAGCTAATCCCCGGCCCAACACACATAATTTTAAAATTATATATCACAAAGACAGGCCACATGGAAATCAGTTTCCATTCCCAGCTATGCGGTGTCTCTCCTCATCTCCAGCACACAGATACACAATGACCCTATGTACCAGTGGTGGTGGGCCTGTGGAATGTGTGCCACAGTGGGCTGTTTGTATCACTGAAAGCTCTGAAAGGTTCACCATCTCTACTATATACTGTCACCCTCCTTTTCTGCTGGTCTTTTTTTTTTTTTTTTTT